CACTAGAAGTATGAATGATCGACATACTACTCCCTGCAGTATCTGTTCTGTTTCTGAATCAAGGCTTTTTCTTGAGCTCAGTATTTTCGCTACATTTTCCTTGCTATACAATCATCTCCCAGTTGGACAATTAATAAGTGCTTTTTCTCCACAGCCCTTGGCATGTAACCTCGCTTACCCTGTATTTTAGCATGCACTATACACCTTCTTCACTCTGACTGGTTTTGGCAGTGACCCACAATCTAAATCTCTTTCCTCCATTTGATATAAGTGAAACTATAATTATCTAGGGGTAATTTCAAATTACTACTTCATTCCACCAGCAACTGATGAAGATTAGTGGTCTTGCCTTGCGTCTGAGTAAGTCAGCAACATAATCACAAGAGAACTCAGCAGGCAACATTTGATTCATGTGAACTCAATTACTTCTGTCAAACACATTCACTTCAATAAAAAGCAAAAACTTCCAAAATGGGTTTTTGCTAATAATTTTGTACTCAAAAAAAATTTCATATGACTCTTAAGGAAAAAAATACTATGGATTTCATCAGAAATAATAATAAATAACAAGTAGGGAAACATATTTGTATAAATGGATTTAATACGTTATTAATTTTTGAAAATAAAAATATTTCAAAGAAATAAATTTGTATACTTAAAATAGTTTATTATTGAAAATTTGGGCATATAAGTAAGCCATAGAAAAATAAATGCATTCTATAATTTAATACTACAGAAACCAGAGTATTCTGTTACCTCATTAAAACCAGGTTATTATGGGAAAGGTAGTCAATTTCTCTTAAAGGAAGTAAAATAAGGGGACATGTAGATGATAGATCATGAATTGCTAAATGGACAAGAATTCCTGAATCACTTCTTGACTGTCTTCCGGGTTGAAGCCATATGTTAATGAGCTGCCTAGCATTCTGAATCCTGAATGTTTAGTCTCTAAAAGACCTTGGGTCAACTCCATGATGCATGTCTATCAGGTCACATGAGCATGATCTGATAGCAACTACCTGGTGAAATCCTGGTAGAGACTTAGTAAATATTAACATATGATAATCATTACAACAGATTTACTCAAACTTCAGCTTCTTTATATAGTCATAACCTTAATTAAATTCCAACATATTTTGATTATCAAAGAAACAGTAATTAAATGCAAATGTATAATAAGTGTATATTATAAATACATTTCAGGATGTGATGTTCTGAGGTCTAAATCACTAAGACGGTCTCCATAACAGTTAATACATCATACTCCAACCATATATGGTTTAACACAAAGAACTTGAAAATTCGGCCTGAGTTTCGTAAGACTAAGAAATGACTGGTTTAAGAGACACATTTGTCAATTTTGTGACCAAAGAGACTTTCTACAGATGATTTTAAAGGTAAAAAAGAAATCAATATAGTAGCTTTCCCTTATCCACGCTTTTGTTTTCGGTGGTTTCAGTTACCTGCAGTCAACTGCAGAAAAGAGACAGATGATCCTCCTGCCATATTGTCAGAAGGTCAATAGTAGCCAAATGATAGGTCACAGTGCCTATGTCATTCCCCTCACTTCATCTCATCATGTAGACATGCTATCATCTCATAACATTATAAGAAGGGTGAGCACAATACAAGATATTTTGAGGGAGAGTGAGAGACCTCATTCACATAACTTTTATTACAGTCTAGAATAGTTACATTTTATTATTTGTTGTTGTTAATTTCTTACTATGCCTCATTTATACGTCAGACTGTCTCATAGGAAAAAGCATAGTATATAATAGGGTTTGGTACTATGTACAATTTCAGGCATCCCTGGGGGTTTTGTAATGTAACCCTCTCAGATAAGGAAGGACTACTGCAATTTTAAAGCATAATATTCTTTTATAGTTTTGCCCATTCTACTCTCTCTTTTGATTCATTTCCCTACTTCTTGCCTTTTCATTTGTTGCTCATTCCTTAAGATAACATTCACCACCATCAAGGAGCGTGTGAGCTAGTGGGAGTGAAAAGAGTCATTAATTAAATAATAAATCAACAAAAAGATGCAAAATCTTAACTCTAACTGGCTCTACTAAGGGAAGATATATAGGTAAATAATAGAGAGGCCTGATCTTGAAGACTCAGGGATAGCTTCTCCAAGGAAAGGGTGCTGGATGATAGATCTGAAGGATCAGTGTGAGTTAATCAGGCATGAAGTAAGTAGAAAAATGTTTCAGGGCAACAGAACAGAATCTCAGAACAAGTAGTAAAAGTGAGCTTTTGAGAAAGTGAAAGAAAGCCAGTGTGACTAGTGCACAGAGAAGAGGAAGCATAGTTTAAGATGTGTCTGGAGCAAAATCATGCAGAATCTTAAGCTACTGTAAAAACTTTACCTTAAAGGAAACAACTGAAGTATTTAAAGTTTGTGGTGGGGGTGAATGGGGACAGAGAAGGATGGGTGTGTGAAACAATGAGATTTGCATTTTTGTAAAAGCGATACATTCACATGACTCAAAAATCAAAATATTATTATATAAAGTCATTCATTATATTGGAAAGTAAAGTTCCAACAAGACATGCCTATAGATTAGTGGAAAAGAAATAGAGAAAAGTGGATGAGTTTAAGAGACAGCCTGGTTGTAATTTCTACAAATATTTTGTGATGGGTAGGAACCAGATAGTGAGTAGGAAGGAGATATTCCTAGATTTCCGACCTACCAAGAATAGTTCGAAAACATCAAGATCCACACTTAACGGTTTGGGGATAGCATGTTAAGACCATAGAATGATTTAAAGTTATGGTGGAATTTTATATGACATGCACAGATACATTTACATTTGCATATTCATATTATGTGTAGATATAAATGCCTCAGGAATATCTGTGATATCTTAATTGTCCAAAATAAACCTTCAATATTTATTTATTCATTCAATGACATGTTATTTATAAAATAAATATTTGAAATTCCTCATAGAGCGGCCACATGCCATCTGTATTTTGGGGGGGAAGGCACCATTCATATGGTCTACATTGTGTAGAACGCCCTCTGGGGCTGTGTAGTTCACAGCCTTCATGACCCCACAACCTTTATTCCTACTACTAGGATTGGGTAATAAATGAATTCAGACAGTCCAGCTTAGTAAAGTTTTCTACAATGCAGGCTCTCTAGTTCACCCCACTGTCTCTCAATTAGGTTTCTACTGCTCAATTATAAATGTGTGAGAAGAGAAAGATATGTACCGAGTGCCTGGACTAAGGAACATTCTGTCAGAACACTACTTCCCTAAGACACTTTCATGATAAGCATGCACAGGAGCTTTTAATCCCCACAACAAACAAAAATTATCCTCTATAAATGCAGAGGTCTTTTATACCCACTGTCCATTTGGATGAAGACAAAGGTAATTTGTGTTCTGACCTAAAGTGACCACATACCATTCTCTTAAGTGACATAAATAATCAAGTAGAGCATTTGATTTATAATTCTAGTAAACAAAATTTTAGAAATAGTAAGATTTATATTGTAAATATTTTAGACAAAATAATGAAATGTATTCAACAGATTATATTTAATCTCCTGCTTCTGATTCTACAATTACACATATCTTCACCTTACACTAAAAGGACTATTCAAGAAGAAAAGTTAAAATATGTTAGTTAGAATTTTCCTTTAAATCCAATCCCAAATAAAAAATAATTCATTTCCCTGAAAAGTTTAAAATCATTTGCAAAACATAGTTTTGATTTAATAGAACTGCATATATATGTACATACATACACAAAGGTATGGGGAGTTGTAGACTACATAAAAACCACAAACTAATTGTAGATGATATTGTAGGAATACAAAATAAGAGCTGATGCTAAAAAAGAATTTTAAAGATGGTGCAATGTGTTTCCAGAGAGAAATAATTAAACAAAGTTACCATTATTTACCAATCATTTCCCTAGTTTTGATTCCCTGGATCTATAATCAATTTACAGTTAGGCCTGAACAAACTTGAGCAAGTTTAATTCACATAATATAATGGATTTAGAAAAAAAAATGCACCTGAAGCTACCAGGTGGTATTAGGGGACTTTTCAGTACTTAGTTTTCTCTTCAGTTAACAGTAACTCTCATTACCTATTTTGCATGTGCACAGCATGGTGAAAACAAGTTCAGGTTCAAAAGGATGAATGATTTTTTAAGTAAAAATGTTTTCTTCCTCATAAGCTGTTCTTCACTCTGACATAAAGTATCAACCTATTCCAAAAAGCCATGGTTAAATATGTAGGTTTAACTCGCCACACTGTGGGCAAAATGAGGGTATTTTCCATTGAAGAGGGAAATACACATGATCAAGTTTCAATTTAAAAGAAAAATTAAAACAGAAAAAAATCCCCAAGTATAAATTGCTTTGAAATAAATTTTTTTGTATTGGCTCTATCTCCAAAGTTATTTTCTTGGGTACTACTTATTATGCATTCAATATTGACTGGTAAATTTTTAAAAGCAAACATGTAACAGCAATTATATGTAAGCAACACAGTGAACTAAGTACTGTCAGCTGACAAGTATTTTCATACAGAGTTCATATGGTTGAACTTATTTTAAAGGCAGTTAAAAGCATGCCAAACAAGTCTCATCTAACATTTGCATTTGAATTTTATATAGCAAGGTAAGGGTACTATTTTCTCTTCATGGAGAGAAAATAGCAGTAGAGCAGCAGAAAATAGAAAAAAATTCTTTGGTTTGAGTTTCTCAAAAATAAAATTTCTGAAAGCAAAATGAATATGAAATACTACACTGCAAGTAAGACACTGAGTATTAATTATGTATATCCAGTAAAATATTACATTAAATCTTTGATCGTTGCCAGAAATTTTAAAATTCTGAGACAAATCAAACTTGAAGAGAAATAATCTCCATAAATTAGCAAAGTAAAAGGTCATCTGCTCATAATCATTGGAGGAAATACATATACATGATCCAACCAAAGTGGACAGCTCCTGCAGGTCTGCAGGCAAATTCTTACCTTGACAGGTGCCATTTTTCTCTTCATATCCTGCCTTGCACATGCATTTCCCAATGGGCACCAGCCACTCCCCTTCAGCACTGCAGTGCATTTTGGGTGGTTCATCTGTCACAGAATGGTTGACACAGGAGCCCGACACTTCAAGCAATTGCGAAGAATCAGCTCCAGTGATTGTGTCGGGGAACACAGCCAAGTGTCTTACCACAGAAGGGCATTTTTTATAGTACACACGCACAGAAACCAAAGCAATGCAAGCACCCACATCTTGAAAAGCAAGATAAAATCCCTTTTTGCTTAGAGGTCCTACATCTCTGACCTCTGTATTCAGTTTCATAACCCGGTCACCAAGATCAAGCTCTGTAAAGCTTTCATCGGCAGCAATGGTATCAATTTTGATGTACTGGTTTTCCTTGATGTTTCTCCCATTCTCATCATCTGATTCAAAGTAATACATGTTAAAGGTTTCCTTACAGGTTCCCAGTCCTCCAGGAAGACTGTTGCAGTCCCGCAGAGTAAACTTGAGTTCTATAAAGATTCTGGAAGCACCTTCGTTGGAAATCCAACTGGTCAAAAGCCAGTTATTCTGATTCTGTTCCATAACTTTGCATACTTGGTATGTGTGGATAGGGGCATAATTTTCATCAACTTCACCAATCTCTTCCCACTGTAAAAATAGAAAGATGATTCTTTAATATTTAGAAAATAACTAGCAAAAATTATCAAAGAAAACTATTTCAGACATAGAAATTTCTGCAGCCTTAATCTATGTTATTGGGAGAAGGAGCAGTACAATGAGAATTTAAAAAAAAATACCTTTTTAAATTAAGTAAATTAATAGAACATCATTCATTGTCTCCACTAACTCAAAAGTTAACACAAATGAATTTGATGGGGGAAAAAAGCATGTATTTCAGAGATAAGGTAGAATTAAATTGAATATGGGTGCATTTAACAAGAAGGAGCAGTGAAAGGAAATTATATTTAGAAGAAAGCTAAGTATGTAAACTAACAGAGTAGATGAAGTGTGACAGAAGAAAGGAAGTACTTTTTTTTTGAAAGACAACAGTGGAGAAAAAGCAGTAAATGTGAAAAAGAAGGGAGAAAAATGTAACACGTGAATCCACACTTATTTAATTCTGGCATGTTATAAATAACGCACCAATGTAATAATACTTGCAAGAAAATTCATTAGTTTAAAATTAATAGTATGCTTATTTCATTGACCCAATCTGCTTAAGATTCTTTTGCAAATTTGATAGCTAAATGTTTATTCATAGGTTTATCTATGAAACATATACCTAGAGACAGATATAAAATAGAGATAAAAATTATATATGAATAGCTTTGACATTTTGAATCCTGAGTTTTTGGTATATCCCGGGAATGCATTAATTATTTTTACCAACCCATTATTTCATGCATAATGACCTTAAGAGTTCTGAGTATATATATATATATATAAAATCTCTTTGACCTAATATTTTGGAAGCTATAAGTATGATTTATATAGCTTCCAAAATATTAGGTCAAAGAGATCTAAACTTATCTCTTTCCCAATAAAATATTCCAGTTTTAAGACTTTTGATGTACCATAATCACTTTCTTAACAGTATAGAACCAAATTTTTATTCTCCATAAAGACATTATTATTATAATTTAAGAAGTTTTTTAAAGAATCTGGTGTACAAAACTATATATATTTTTGTTTTAAATCTTTAAAAATGACCCTGAAACACAAAGAGCAATGAAATCATACTGACTTCCAATAAATCCAAAATGTGATTTCAGACAATATTACAGATAATAAACTTCATAGAATTTCATCTCTTTAGACATGAAATTAAAGAGCATTATTTCTTGATTCTGTTCAACTGACAAAGATGTGAAAAATGTGGAGTCACAAGGGATGCACATAAATCGTGTACCTCAGATGGTCCCTCTCAAAATTCTAGCTGCCATCAGACAGACATAAGTAAAAGGTGCTAATGAGGGAAAACTGCTGAGCTCCTTAAATTCACAAGAGAGAGACATCAAGATTTTATCTTAACCACTTTCACATCATGGTGTTATGTGAAGCCTTAGTTCTTTCATTTAATCTCACTTTTGTCTTCTCTCAAAAATGTACATAAACTCTACTTAGCCTCAGATTTCCAAAACAGCTTTCTATCTCAGCTGTCTGTCACTAAACTATTTACCCTGTCTTGCTGGAGTGACCCAGATATCAATCTCTTTATTATAAATGGTTACTGAATGCCATTATTAATATTTCATGCAAAAGAATACCTCAACTACCCAAATGAGAGTCATACAAATGATCAGATACATGTTAAATTAAATATATATTTTTGAATTAGTAAAATGGAAATAGCATCAAAAAAAATTCTTCTCTAAAAAAAGAAAATCAAGATGTTACATTATCTCTGCTATAGACTTATTTTATGTCTTCCAATACAAAACACAAACAGATTTCAAATCTTTGACCTTAAATTGTTTATAAAAAAAAAAACTATCTCTGCATCATAATTCCAATAGGACACTGCTAGCAAGTAAGAGGAGCTGGACAAGTAAAAGGAATCAGAGCAACATCTTCCAAGAAGATTATAAGGCCAGCAATTCACAGTCTTTGTCTGTACAAAATCCAAGGTACAACAAATATTATTAAAAATGCAAGCCAAGCAGCACTTGACAAGACAGCTTAATAGTTACTGCTTCAGGTGATAATTTCAAAGTATGTTCATAAGCATCTTACTTCTCTGAATACTCTCAATTAAGATGAGAAAAACTATAATTTTCGTTGATGTTAGAATCTATCATGATGGAATTTATTTATTTTTCTTTTCAAGTGTCCAAAATATAAATGAAGGCTCACATTTTCTATTTTTAACGCATGAACAGAAATACTTTAATTTAAATAATTATAGCCATAAGCCATTCAGAAAATCAACTAGGTAATACATACACATGAATATCTGCTACTATGTGGACCAATAGGCTAATAAACAAACAAAAAAATTTTCATTTATTTTGTATTGACTAGTTGAACTAAAACTTCAAATTCTTCCAAGTTTTCTTCCTTTTTAATACAGAGTGGGCATCTTGCTGCCTTCAGCAAAGATTATACTGATGAAAAAGAAACAAAGGGGATGAAAAGAAAGTAACACTCACCAAGAACTTAAGAATGTGGCAGGTATATTCCTAGACATTTTTGCAAATATCATGTCAAGGAAATTATAGCAGTTTAATGAAGTCACAGATAGAAAATACAATACTTTTGGTTCAGTTTTGTTGGATTTCCTATGACCCCATGGTTTAATAAAAGTATTTGCTGTTCCTTGATTACTACAAGCAATGTGCCTGGACATTTTGGAAATGTGGTCACCGAATGCAATAGTATTCAAATGGTAGTGTGCTCTTTTCTTCAAGTCTAGCATCTCCTCAAGGCCCACCCTCTGAGCCCATGCTTTTCTCTACGTGTGTTTCCTTGTTTCGTTACTCCTATTTCTTTAAGATTAAAGAACTGGTTTTACACAGTCAGCTTGGGCTGGCTTGATTTCTTTCCCAGATGCTTGAGGTTGCTCCTTTTCCTGCTGGGCCCCGAAAACTCCAAGTTGTATTTGAATCCTATGCCTGACCAGACATCGCAAGCCAGCCACAGTCATCAGAACAGCGGCAAACAAAAAGAACTTATTTTCATAAACATCCAAAAGTTAGGGTTACCAACTTTTCCTGCCCAAACCAGAACTACCCATAACTCAAACACTCTATTATAGTCGTTTAATGTCCCATATAATTATTAGAAGGGATCTTAAAAGATCTGGCCCTACCGTTCATATTAGAAATGAGGAAATTGAAGACCGAACAAAAGGAAAGATTTTCCCAAGCTCACAGAGGACAACCCTTTCCATCTGAGCATTCCATCTGCCTGTGTCTACCTCTGTCTTCTTGTTGGCACATCTCTGTTCTTGATGTGTGTATTTGTGTGCAGGATTCCTTGAGTCACTGCCATCAATTGCTAGCCGACTCTGTCAAAACAAATTCACATTTTTTTTTCGGCATCATCTAGCTGTAAACTTTTCCCTTTATCTCTTTTCCTTTCTTCTTTCTTTCATTCCTAACGTCCTTCCTTGCTTCCTTCCTTCTTTCCTTCCTTTCTCCTTCCCTCCCATCTCTTTCTCTCTCTATGTATATACATACATACACACACAGACACACATATATGTATTAATACTCTGAAATACAGATATGAGAGTAGAGACATGGTTGCCTTATTCTCTACTGTATCTCAGAGTCTGACACCACAGGGCACAAATTAAAGTACTTGATAATTTTTTTTTAAAGATTTTATCTGTTTGACAGAGAGAGCACAAGCAGAGGGAGAGAGAGGGAGAAGCAGGTTCCCTGCTGAGCAAGGAGGCAGATGCGGGACTCGATCCCAGGACCCTGGGATCATGACCCAGGCCGAAAGCAGCCGCTTAACCGACTGAGCCACCCAGGCATCCCAGTACTTGATAAATATTTTATATGAATGAATATCAAATATATATACATTCCTCCCTAGTCCAGAGATCTGCTAAATCAAAATATACAATAATTCAAACATGGTAAATAAAGATTTTATGATTTGTCTTTCATGTTTGTTCACACAAAGACAAATTTTGTTCTGTGTAAATTGTCTGAATTTTATAAATTTTAAAAGGAGAGTTTATAAATTCATGGGTTTTTTTTTGAAAATTATTCTTCAGTAAAATGCTGTAAGCATTTAAGACATTTTCTTTTTTTATTTTATTATTATTATGTTAATCACCATACATTACATCATTAGTTTTTGATGCAGTGTTCCATGATTCATTGTTTGCTTATAACATCCAGTGCTCAATTCAGTATGTGCCCTGGTGATGGCTATTAAGGCATTTTCTTTAGTTCACTAATCCATATAATTATTTGCAGTTCAGTTTTGTGTATTAACCTAAAGAACTAATTTTCATTAACATTACATTTTAACAATTTTAACTTACAGCTTAGTTTAAGTGTTATTTTTGACCATATGCTTAAAAATACTGTTTTCACTTTTTATTCACTAATCTTCTTCACTACTCTGTACAGATTAAAAGCTCAGAATATAGCATATGAGCTAGCGGCACTATACTTTATTTCATATTTCAGTCAAACAATATTTTCTTAGCAATTTTCTTTGGCAGAGTGATATAAAAATATAGCTAAGAATCAACTGTTTTTAGTCTGACATGCCCAAAGCATAATTTTGTAGCAAGACCTTGTTTACCACATCAATGCTTCTTTGAATATAGGGATAACTGCCCATTATCCTTTAATATCACAATATTTTGCATAATACCTTTTGAAATGCTCCATAAAGAAATTAATTCCAGGTTTCCCATTATATTTAAAATACTTTTAGATGTCATTTACTATGATCTGCAGTGTGTGTGTATGTGTGTGCATGTATCTGTATGTTGTATGTTTGCTAACTTCACTGAAGGTATCCTGATTTCAAATTACTAATTAACTGCTGTTTTTAAAAGAGCAGTACCTCTGCATGACCTTAGACAGTACCTAGAAAATAGTTTGACAATGTGCTCAAACTTGGAAGTAAGTCACTTTACCCATTTTAACCAGTGAGCAACACATTCCAGTTGTTACCTCATA